AAGCTTAATTTATAAGACACAACTGCCCGGCCCGCGATTAGGTGAAATAACAGTCAGTACCTAAGTTTACTGGGCTATACAGCCTGCTCAGATTAATCTTCGACTTCGTCTCTGTCAAATAGGGCAAAGTTCCTTTTATCAGAAAATTATGAATGAGACATTAGAGGTTAGGCGTGAAAATAGGTGTGAATAAAGAGGTTCTTTCTGAGAAAAGGTGAAAGAGTGCTCGTAAATTCTGAAAGGAGTCTTGAGTATTAGCCCTCCTTCACCCTACTGTACGAGCAATGCAATTTGCGTTCGCTCGTCGTCTGTACATAATATTTTATTTCCATTCTTATAGGGACGATTCATTTTCAGAGTGGGATTTTTCTCGCTTAGTTCTATTTCACCAACAGGCTCTTAGTTTGTTTTATTTTTTCGTGGAGTTCTCTTTCAAGGAACAATGGATGTCCTTTCATCTATCTCCCTTTTTTTCCATTCTTCTATCGACTGATGCTAGGAAAGGAAAAAACAGAATTGTTACTTAATTGTTACGCTATTTGTCAGGTACCTTTTACTAATGGCAGCAACTGCGAGTAATAAAAGCTAGGCGAATGTTTCACATTCCCTCGAAGAGAATTCGGCCTAGCCCAACTATCTCGGCAGTCCAAAGAGTGTATTGCCTTACAACCTTTTTAGTCTACAAATAGTGATCGTTTAAAGAATTCCTTTAAGATCAATTTTTGATACTGTGGCAACCACAAAATAGTTAGAGGTATGTTACCTCTAATAGTTTTAATAAAGTTGTCCATTATGGAGAAAAAGTCAGAGGTAAAAGCTTAACAACGGGTATCCAGTCGTTACGTACCCAGTCGTAATTTCAGTCAATTCGTACCCATTTTGAGCCGGCTTGTACCCGAAATCAAAATACATCAAGAGCTGCTAGCGCGAGTGCATGAACAGATGTCGATTGTTCCCTACAACAAGTTAACGTGTAAGGTACAAGCAAAATTCTGTGTATGTTTGAGACCTTCGCGACAAAAAGCGCAAGGTGAGAGTGATATTTTAATAGAACAGTCTATTGTTTATATTTGTAACTATCTTAACCATGACAGCTGGTGAAAGTGTGATTTTTTTTCCTGCCAATGGTATTAACGGTAATAAATTAGTTTATTGTTCGTCATTTATTTATGCTATTTTTATTTTAAAGGTACTTAACATGGAAAACATACTTTATTAGTATGGGTACAAAACGACTCAACTGACTAGGTACGAACCGACCAAGCTGGATACAAAACGACCGTGAGTACTGGTAATCTAACGACAAATACGAAAAATAATAAAGGTTATTTTCGATGGGTACATTGTAGGATATGGGACGTTCACGAATCTGAAGCAATAGTAGAATAATTATCTACTTCGTTTTAACGGCTAATTGACATCTTGTGTCAAAAGAAGGAATTTACAAAAAAAGATTGCAAGAACGATAAATTCAACGTTTCAAGTTTACTTACATCCCCCCCCCCATGTTTTCTTCTGTACCATTTTTCTTCGCTGCCTCTCTGAAGCCATTTGGTTGACTTTTTTCCTTCCAGTCCTTCCACGTCCAGTGCGTGTATTATCCAGAGGTGCCCCCGCTCAGGTAGCCTATTTAATTCACGATCCACAGCAAAATTGGCATTTATCACGACAAAAAGCATTATAGTGGAAATAAATGAGACGACGTAGTAAGACGTGGGATCTCCAGACGCCGCCATGAATGGAAAGTCTTTAGATGAGATAAAATGTGCATAACATTGTTTGAAAATGCTCCGCTAGGGCTCTACTTGCAGTTAAGTTTCTCCGAAACTGTTGTTCTTTTGTGCTCAAAGGCTTCGAAAGATGATAATTGTGTGACAAACCTTGAGATGACAATATTTTGTCAATTCTTACTTGATTTGCGTCTTTGGTTTAAAAATGTTACTAAGGCAGTAACGATTGCAACGGAACCACGAAGACCACAAAGCTAATTTATAGTCTACGTCAGGAGCCAATGTAACATAAAGTTTGGTGAACGGCTTGCTCAAATCTTTTTCCACAACACTGCCTTAATATTCAGGCGTGAGCAATTTGAAGGTCATCAGCCAAAATAGATAAACTGTTATTGTAAAGACTTAGGATGTAATTTAGTGTATTAACCTCACATTTGGGCTCTGAAGTTGAATTTTCAGCTTTTCGGTGGTGAGAGAAAGGGCTGTTAGAAATTTAAAACCAACAAACTTAATGTGAAGGTTTTCAGTTTTGACCAATGTTTCAGTCATTGCTCGTAAACGTAGCATGTGGTAATCGGTTTAACTTTGTCAGTTAGTGGCTCAGTAGACTATACAAAATACAAATAAAACTAACCTTAAAACATGTGTATTGATAAAGAAGAAAAGTGCAAAGTCTCTTTCAAGTTGACTGTAAATCATCTAGCTGCAGGATTACGATAAACAAGTATAGGATGATGTTAATCTCACCTATATTCTATTTAGTACGTCTGTTCTGTTATTGCAGGTGACCAGTGGCAGATCTAGGGGAGGGCCCCCCCCTCTTCCTTATTTTGGATAAAAAAATTCGCAGAAGGAAGAAAAACCGACAGGGTAAGCGACAAAAAACGCCCCCCCCCCCCTTCTTAGCTCAAGGTCAGGATCCACCACTGGGGACGACTGTGGTTCGATTGCATCTTTTGAAACTCTAACATTAGAGGACTTCTTATTGAGAAGTAAATTCAAAAGCTTCTGTTAAGATGTTCTAGTTTTAAGTTTACTAAATATACTATTGTTCACAAAAAAATATCCGGTACTTTAATTCAGTTTCTGCAAATTAGTACCGAAAAGAAAGACATCCTTTTTAAAAGAGTGAATTAAAAATCTGATGGACGGAATGTAATGCCTCTCACTTTGAAAAAAAAGAAGAAAAAAAAACAGTAATAAAAGAAAGAAAAAATCTACCTCATTTTTCAGTCGATTAAATCGTCAAGAATTGTCACTTCACTTTGTTACAAGGAGCTGTAAGTTTTGGGGTAAATGGGATCGTTGGAAAATGTTTGAAATATTATTTAATTACCTCTGGTGTAATAAAAGACACGAAAAAGCGCCAAATGTTCATTTGAATGTTTTGACAGCCTCAGTCTGCCTTTCTTCCCGGGGATATCACAGTGCGTGTTCCGATCTAAAGTCTTCCCATGTAACTCTCTCATTCATCTCGACAAAATCGAGAGGAAAGTCATCTATATTTTTAGACTGGTCTATATGTAAAAATGTTGTGTCGCAGTTTCTACAAATAAAGGAAATAAAATTTAAGACCCTGAATAAATTGGCCCCCGAAAATTAACAGTAAGCACATCGAGAGAAAAACCGACTAAGTTGTTTGCGTGAATCAAACCGAGCGTTATGTAGGGTCCTAATGTCCTTTTCTCTACCAGTAATCAAGACAAAAAAAAACAATTCTATAGCCAAGAAAAATAAACAGTAAGTCATAGTGAATTCATTTCATATTTTTCATGGTTAGACTGAGCTATTATCTTATATTGTATACAAAGCGGATAGCCTTGACTGGGACTTTAATGCACTTCTTTTACCGCATAACAATAGTACCAAATTGGAGTTTCCTTATGCACACAGCTACATTTACGTTTCTAATTAAAGGCGGTGTAGCTTCATATCTAACAGTTAATAAAACCTTGAATATTCCAGTTTTTACAACTCAGGAAATTAAAAATGACACGTGCTTAAGGTAAACACAGAGTCGATAGAAAAATAACTTTCATTTCCTAAGCGGTAGTGCACTTACAATCAGTTATCATTACAAGCAATTGCTTCGTTTGTCTATCAACAAAACACATCGGAAACTCTTAGGAAATAATACACAGTAACAAAGAATATCTCAAGAAAAAGCCGAAGAAAAAGAAAATAAAATCAAAACGCAAAATTTAAAGATTGTCTCATAGCTAAATTTATTTTAGTCTTGAGAAACCTCCGTCATTAAAATTGTGAAAAAAAAGTTAAGGCTTCCTTTCCTATCCTTAATCAGGAATAGCATAGAATTTAGGAGGGATTCTTAGTTGTGAAGCTTTTCTTTCGCAAACAGTTTTTCATATGAAAAAAGGTTACAAAATCTAAGCGACATTCTTGCTTTGCTTTTTCAAGCACCTTTTTTAATTACCGTCTCGCTTTCGTATTTCGCGACTTAGTTTGAATTTTGCTTCATAATTTTCACTGTAAGATGTACACTGCTAATGTAGTTTTTAAATGAGAGCTTTGAGATATGTTTCACTGATTCGTATCCGTTTTGTTGCCCAAACAAAGTTTGACAGTAATAAATGATGAGCATTAAACAGTAAATTTTAAACGTTTATTTTGTTTAACTAAGTCGCAAAGTTAAAAGAGCGTGCGGCTAAATCCACAAGATAGAAAAATATTTTACTTTATTCGTCAATTTAGATAAGAGGAAAGGGCTACTGTGCAAAATTAATGTTGAGCAATAACACAGCATGAAACGATCAAAAGGTTACGGAACCGTAAACATTTGACAGCAACAAAATCGCACTCGCGTATCCCATTTTCTGACACTAATGTTATAATTATAACCGTTGCATTGACTTACACACATTAACTCTGATGTTTTTAGTTTTGGTCGTATTTCCGCATAGAAATTAGTCAAATCAAACCTAACTCCGAGCTTTCAATATCAATAAAACAAATAACGACAGGAATCATCTTTCGAGTCTAAGAAAAAGGTGAGCTCTTCAGTTTTATTCAGTTTAAAAAAACACAAACAACGAAAAAGAGGGCAAACACAACCAACGTTAAAATGTCTAAAGACAGTAAACTTGCAACAAAAAAATATTATTTCTTTCGACACAGTCACTTCCTTCTAGAAACGCAAAAATACTCGCCGCACAGCTGTCTGAAAGGAAAGAACGACCACAAACAAAGAAATTAAAGCTGTTTAAGAAAAAATCGGCCTCCGAAAATTGAAGAAGCATTTTCCGGTCAGCATATGAAAATCAGCGTGTTCAACTGATGACATAAAACAGACTGACTCTGCTAACCTGATTTAATTCTTCTGAAAATCGGAGGGAACGCTGAAAGGCAAGGTGTTCTGTCGAGGTAAATTTTGGAAAATAATCAGTTTCTTGTGTTCAAAAATCAAAATATTATTTCCTTTTATCTCTGATTTCAAGGTCTAGTGAGATATAAATGGCTTCTACAAAGAAAAATGCTGCATTTCTGGTTTTTCTCGCTGTTTTCGCTTTACTAACAAGTGAGACATCAAGCCATTTGAGGGTGGGGAAAAAAGCGTTCGTACCGTTACAGAACGAACTTGAAGAATTGTTTAAAAACCGAAGAAAAATCAGCTTTGCAGAAAACAGGAGAAAATTTAATCAAAGAGACAACTGGAGGCTCGGAACAGAGGAACTGCGAGAGTTTTATAGAGAGTAAGGCCATCGGATAACCGAGGTAAGAAATAGGGCACTGGCGTTTCCCTTGCTAGTTTTCGAACAACGTATCAATGTAAGCTAAAAATCAACGTTTAGAGTAAAATTTGCTATTTGACAGTCGTAGAGCAAATATTTAACATCTAGCAAAACTTGAGGTTCAGCAAGTCTTTCCTAGTAAAACATTTGGCTTCTTAAATCATGTATTCATACTGAAACTGAGAAAAAATAAAAATGTCGTGCGTCTGTGCCTGAGTTAAAGATCACAGAAGTAAAAATGTGGTAGAAAAGAGACAACGTAATAGCATACGTGCAGTGATCTAGTGCACCACTGATGCCCTAGTAATGTGTTAAAATGGAATGAATTTTTTAAAGACTAAATAGTGATAAAAAATAACTTCAATCTCAAGCTTTAGAAGATTTGTTCTAGTTTAAGTTCCTTAACTGTTATCATTGTGGTCATGAAGTGCTCATTTCTCGACAATTTTGTCTGCTCACACGCGAGATAATCTATAAAAAAGTTTCGTGCGTGAAACTTAAGATCCAATTCCCCGTCTCCCCATTTACATTTAGCTTTGCAACTATTTTCTTCGAACCCTCTTCTGATAATTGAGGCAATCTTACAAACTATACTCTTTGCGATTTCTATTTTGCAGATGCCATGGTAAAGCATGCGTAATCAAGTCAAAGAACAGATTATTTAGATGTAATAAGCATATTGTAGTTAGTTTAAAAAAAAATACCTGAATACTTTCCAGCTAAAGACATTTTCGAACAGTAGTCAAATGCTTTTCAATATTCTTCTAGTCTGCAATTCTACATTTTAAACTGTAATGCAACGACAATGTGATTTATAAAACCTTTCAAACTTTATGTCGTTGGTTTGTCCGCAAGTCATGTTGTAAAGTTTAAAACACGATTATTGGTACAGAAAAATATATTTGTGACTTGTGATCTACCGGGCTTGCTGATCACGAGGAAGAACAAGTTTCCCTGTATTTTTCTCAGTTCTCTTTTCACGCAGCACTCCCAGCTGACAAATTTCTACGCTTGAGAAACCGAACTTCGTCAATTGGGCATAAAGGTACAGTTTTACCTTTCTCTTCTCTTTTAAGTCAGTGAAGTAAATAATAAAAAAAATAATAATAAAAAAATAATAATTAAAAAAACCATCAGTTATTCACCATAAGCCCGCCCTTCATCCTGTCCCTTCATCCTGTCCCTTCATCCTGTCCCTAGAACGATCCCCACAAAGAAACAACCACAAATGTCCCCTAACGAAGCGAAACATTCTCACGGTTAACTAAAAACCAAAGGGAATTTAAGCAACCGGATGACCATGGTTTAAAGAATTGTTATTCCAAAGCGTAGTAGCCACTCAAAAGAAGCGATAGAAGAGGCTGCTTAAACTGAAATTAGCGAAGCTGGTTACTTTCAGAACTTCACGGGCACTGTTTGAAGCTGGCTTAAGCTCGGAATCAGCTGTAAGAAGAGAAAAGAGACAAGAAACCATCGACATGGTAGTCCACACTTTTAATTGGTGCAATAATTAAAAAAATAGTGCTAAAAACATCAATCAGCAAGTTGAGGTGTTAGGCTTAAAAAATTTATGCATTCATTCTTATTCATACAAAACGACGTCCTTTTGTTGCGACCTCATAAACAAGATCATACATTAATATCTGACCTCGATGTCTCGTCACTTAGCTTGATAACTAAGATAAGATAACAATTGCGTTCATTTTAGCTTATTCCCCCTTAACGTATTACGTTATGTCGATCCACTTTCAAGTGCGTCGTGTTTCACGTTTTGCACCTTTATGTAAACCTTGATAGTATGGAGTACTGATCTGTCAAAGCGCAAGCATTTGGTATTTTATACAATTAACCTTTGTCGCTTTGGTAATGACCACACCTGTTTAACCTTGATACTAAACGATTGGTTAACCAACAAGTAAAATACGATTTCCATTTTTTTTTTCCTTTGTAACGTTTTTATCATTAACCATACATTCTCACTGAAATAAACCCAGTCTTCCAGGTCCACTCAATGCCGGGCAATTCGGCCGTCCGCTGGCTGGTTTTAAATTTTCCCAGTAGGCTCTACTGGCTCTAGAGTAATAAAGATGTCAAGATAGTTATAATTAAAAATTAAAAATGAAAGAACATCATCTGTTACCATGCTTACTTTAATAGCATACCTTCTCCCTCCAATCAACAAAACAAGCAGAAATAACTCACATCCTCCACTTTTCGGACGAAGGACTTGTGCTTGAGTCAAAATTCGCTTAGGCGAGCTATCTAACTTTATCTATTCCATGACGACAATCCGTTAATTGTTGCACTTGTATGCCGAAGCAGCTTAACTGTTCGTTTCCCTCGAAGACTTACCCCACCCCCTCTCCCTAACCCAACCCTGTCACCCACGCAATTACCTCGCTCGAATCTCTGGTTGTGAGTGGTGTTTAAGAGCCTCTCCCCAAGGACTGTGCTTGTCGCTTGCGGCTGGTAACTTGCCTCTTTCAGGAGCCAACTAAAGCAAAAGCAAAGAAGGAGCGCTCCGTCAAAGTGTTGCTAAAATCATCATCATGCACTTGTTACAGGAATAATTATGTAAGATGAAAGGATATTTTTTTCTTAAGAACACTGATTTGTGGGATGACGTGGTGGCGAGATTCCCTTTCGGAAGTTGGACAGCTAAGATGACACGTCATGGAGCGGAGGCTCCATTGGGCCTCAAAGTGAGTTTAATCGCGTTCAACTCATCAGGTTAAAGGAAAATTTTTGACCCAGTTACTTTTTCCACGCTTGGTTTAATGGAGTTCGAAAGTCATGATAATCTCAATCAATTTGGTCCTCGTCGCAGCTCCTGTTTAGGGTCGTAACGAGACAAGTTCCCTCCGCCAAGTGAAGAGCTCGACGTGCGACAAACCAGATGGACTGCAAATGGAGATTAATCTTAGATACGTTCCCAAACACTCATATAAATAATTTAATAAAAAACTATTTAATAAAAACCTCTTCCGCAATGGCCCGGATATGATAGGGCTCAAAACCACAACAGCCACCAATGAATCTCACTCCCATGTCATAGGCCTGCCGAGCGTATTTATGTACATCCCAGCGAGTTACAACTCGAGCTTCCAAAGCTGAAAGGTAGAACGAGTTAGTTACCTGTTCCATGTCATCGGCTCACGAGTTAACAAAGGATGAAGGCCCTCTTCCGTGAAAATAAATTAGTAATAATGAAGTTAAAGAATTAAGGTAACTAGAACCCCAACGATGAGTAAAAAACGTCCGTATAAAAATATATCCTGCCCAAAATTTGACTCAAAGGACTATGCATCTTTCCTATTTCGCTTTTTGATACTGAGAAAGTATCATGTGAAAACACCTTCAAAGTTCAAGCTATGAAAAGTCCATAGAAATAACCTTCCTCTCCGTTAACATAATTAAACAATAAACCAGACTTTCCATCGGTTTACCGGTTAATAAACCACGCGAAATGTTGGGAGAACACGAGGCGCAGCCAAGTGGTTTATAAACTTTTCGACATAAATATGAGCTAAGTTTGTGAGAAAGAATGATAAATTTAATCTTATTTCGTGATCAAGTCTTTGATCAAGTCGTTGATTCTCAAACCCATCAAAAAGTGCGATAAACCAACCAAAGCTCCGGAAACTGAATGAACTGCCGGCCAGAAGAGCGAAAACTGTAATTAAGTTGTCGCTGAATGAAAACAGAAATTTTAAAGAAAACTAACGAGAAATAGCAAAATGCAAGACGAAGCACAACTACAAAGTGCTACTGAAGAATATTTCAATTTGGACGGAGAAAACGCGATTTTTGAGGCCAAAATAAGCCTACCTCTGCGATTGCGATCTGATAATCTGTACGGAAAGTTTTTTAAGTTGGCAAACTTATTAAGCAGTTTTAATATTCTCCGGAGCCATTTCAGCAAAATAAAGGTCATTTGTAGAAATTTTAACAACTGGAATTTATTACGATTGTGAGAACTCAATATTAAATTCGTTAATAGCATTGTTGCACGACAAAAACGGCAAAATCGAAAGACAACAACATCGAGCCGTGTGCACCGATAAAACACCGTCCAACTATTTTGTTTACTCGCGGTTCACTATTTTCCTTCAACCAAATTTTTTCCTATTGCCTAGCTTGAATTAAAGCTTTCATGAAGTCCTCGTTAAAATTTACAGAAAGCGATTAAAACGCATGAACTAGGCAAAAAGTATCAAATAAAAGCCGAAATCGAGGATAGCAAATTGAATTGCTATAAATCTTGGGTGCCTCATCACTTTGTAAGTGGCTTTTGTTCTCAGGTAAATATCTAAATGAAGATCCAGTGAGTTTTCACAACAATTTTCTTGATGCGAAAACTTGTCAACTTTTCCTTCTCAGCGAGCAGTTTGGGGAACTTTAGCGGAGAATTAAACCGAAGCAACCAGTTAGTTGGACTGCATTTTAAATAAGAAATGTGATAATGTTATAAACATAAAATCTTTGGTTTCGGCGTGCAAAGTGTACTCTTCGTTTCCTCCAAACATTGGCGTTAACAAATAAAAATCTGGGAATTCTCCCCGTGTGGCGCCATTTGATAGGGTGGGAAGATGTTTCAGTTTTCTATGGGTATACAACCAAATATACGACATTTTGACCAATCAGAGCACACGTTGTGTCAAAGTTATGTTCTAACACGCAGTCACCAAATTTAAAAAGGCCAAAATGTTATTTACCTAGATCTTGACATATGGTTACTACTCACCAAACGGTGACTCTGGCAGATGAGCAGATCCCATACGGTCAGCATCAGGGGTATGGTAACCAGCTGGTTGAGCCATTAGATGAGGCTTGAGGCCTTCTTTATCCAACGCGTCTTTCATTAAACCAATGGTCATTAGAGTGATGTTTGAGTCAAAGCGACAGTTGACTCCAATTATATCAGCCCCTGAAACCACAAGGCCTAATGTAAGAGTAGTGTATATGCATGCGGCTTAGCAATCTACTCTCTGGGGTCAAAATATTAAGGAAGCGCTTTCTCTTTGACTCTCCTCTTCCCTACTGCTTTCTTTGTTTGTGATTATCTCTTAAAATTTCTTCATTTTCCAATCTTTTTTGGTCAGAAACATAAGCTAAGGAAAACGCATTTTTGGTACCTTATTTAAATTCAGCCTGGAAGAGAGCAACATCGACTAATTTCAAAGCTACTGCTGCGCTGGTGGAAAAGTTGAACACGGGTAGCAAACTACTCCGACCTCCTTAGTCGACCTTTATAGTTGGCTCCCTGTACCTGCCCTCGCGAGTCTAACAGCACATTCTCCCGGAGGAACATCACAACTGTCGCCATCAGGTCCAATGCATAAGGTTACTGCTGTTGGTTTCCCTGTGGACTTCATTACTTCTACTGCCCACTCAGCCTCTTCTACGTTCGCAAAGAACTGTCGGAGAAACATTCGACCAATAAACACCCATGAGACACGAGTTTCTAAGGATGCAGTACATTTGAAGGGTTCAATTCTGACATTATTTTCTTTGGTGTGAGTATCATAAAATGGGTTGCAAGTATCTCGGTAAAATATCTAATAAGAGCAAAAGGGACTTTTCCGAGATTACATAACCTTATTGTAACATTAGAAGGAAGGGGGTATAACCCGAAAAGTGCGATAGTATTTTACTCCCCAGTGAAAGGTGTCCTTCCTTCTGCGAAAAACGTCCCGTGTCTTCATTCAGTCAAACTGATTAACTTAAATTTGACCAGGCGCTGTAGTAACAAGCTATAGAAATCTGCTGTAAAAACGCTAACATTAACAACGAATAACCATAGTGTTCAGCTTCATTATGCAGATTTCAGTAAAAATTAACTCAAACAAGTACATTTCAAAATAAAATTACCTCAGCTATAATTAGATCAACATCGTTCTGAATGAATATCTGAATTTGCTCCCTAAATTTCTTCGTTACAATTTCTTTTCCAGCACCTTGTGAATACAGAGAAGCTGTCTGACAGACGGATCCAGCGAAAAATACTCCTCCCTCCTGAGCGACACTTTTGGCAAGGTCACATGCTGCCTGGTTTATTTTTATGGCCTAAGAAAGATTCCAAGTATATAAAAACTGAACGTGTATCCTTGAAATTATTAGTTATCATTATTCTTAAAATTACTATGAATTAACATTAATTTTGAAAAATTCCTCAGGAGCAAAGTGTGTTATGGTTTCTTGTCAACTTAAAAAAGCATGTTAGGTTTGATCACACTCTATTTTAGGCACTATACTCTGTTCTCAGAATACCGCTATCAATCGCCCAGATTACCAAATTAACATTACCTCCAAAGTCCCTGATTACCAAATTAATACCACTCCCCATCCCCAAAAACTATTTTGGGGATGGGGCTTACTTGGGAGGTACATATTTGGGGAGGTGCTTTTTTGGAATTGAACTTGTTTTGGGGTGGTGCATCTTTGGTGGTGGTGCTTATCAACGGGTTGTTACAAGCCAGTTACCCATAAGCCAAGAGCTTTTATTTTGATATCCTGATTTCAGAACTATAAAGCAACCAGGAGAATCTATACTCCTTCCAGAACTGGACTCTACTTCACTGCAGGGTGTATACTCATTTATTCATACCTTCTGTTGTACAATTAAATTAATTTCATATACAAAATGTAATATTTTTCTTGGGATTTCAGCAAATTGGCTGAACTATTTCTATGCTGGCAAAGAATGATTGTTCTATCAGACAAGGAGACAAGAAAGTAACCATTTCCTCAAACTCCCCCACTGGATATTCAAACAAGCAAATGAACAAAAAACACACAAACAGAATAAAACCAAATTGCACAACACATTAATTCATGTTGTTTCTATATATCAAGGTGATCTTTACCTATTAGGCTCAGCCCTCAGCCATAGAAGTTTGGTGCACCTGCAGTCCTTACCAAAATACCCATGACTGAAGACTACCTGAATTAGCTTTTTTTAGCTTTGGGTTAACTATAAAGTTCTCAAATGTTTTGTTTGAGGTACAATTCACAGGGGGATATCCACATATTATAATCTAACTTAAAAGGAAATCTTAAGCAATTTTCATGGCTTTATTCTGTATGCTATATGAATCAATGGATATTTCAAGGTACAAGAACAGCCATGCCCTAAGAAAATTATAAAGAACATTAAAAATGTAATGATAAGTCAAGTGACTTTGCAAACCAATCAAATTCATCACAGACATATGCTGTTAGGTCTAGGCCCTTACAAGACACTTGTTATTGTACCCTAGGGTTTGCTTTACCAAGATATAATTTTAGGGATTTTAACATGTGTTTGACATTTCATTTTAACAACAACCAAGCTGTGACAGGAAAATCTGACAAAAAAATATTATTGACCTCTTAAAACCAACTGTTTCAAGAAAGGGCTTCATGTATTCATATGACTGCAAATTGATAAATATTTAATAACAATCTACGAACCCCATGTTTAGCTTCAGAGCTGCCCATATCATCATCCATTGAGAAGGTAAAGGCCTGAATAACATCAGCTCCTGCTCGCACAAACTCCCGATGAAGTTGTCTAACTGTTGACAATCAATTCCATTTACCTCTTGCAATACTTTTTTAAGGCAAGTTTTTATTCATTCATGAATCTAACTAAATTCAGAAACAACCACCCTTACAATCTTTTGTTTCTTTGCAACCCTTTTTTTTCCACTTTGTAGGATGACCACAAAACCAAAAAATCAAAATTAGCCTGAAATATCCTCTCACTTTTGGCATAAATAAAAAAATTTAATTCAAAAGGGTTCTAAATCCATAAGCTGAGCACTGTGATGGTGTGATTGCTCTTACACAACTAAATCACATGCTGGGGGACAAGTTGAACAACCTTACCTTTCTAAGCACTGTATAGCAAGAACGGAAAAGAAATTACATATGACATGATATGAAATAAATTCTATTTAGATATAGAGCGTATATAGGCGAAGGTCAATAGATTGGAAGCTGGTGATCTCTAAGATAACTTTGCTATTACAAAGAAACTACTCCATTAATATGTTTGAAAAATCAAGCACCCACTTAAATATGAATTCAAATATTCTCAATTACAGGTGTTCACAAAAGTGAGGTTGTAATTAGGCCCCATAGCTGAGGCCTATGGTGCAACAAAAGAAGACTACAACCTGCATCTGGATATTCCACTGTACACTCTGGAGTATAAGGCCCTGCTTTCACATATCCACGCTTCTCTAAAGCATGTGTCATTCCACCATCTCCAACAAGCACTTCCCCAGCATTTAATTTCTCTAAAATACCAAACTTAAAAGACAGATATATTACAACAAATACTGTGTATCTACACCTGCAATTACCGAAATACTATACAGCTGATGCTTAACTCCAAAGATCCATATGTTAACTCTCCCCTCTAGCTGCCACAAATTTTTTTGCACATTTAAGTAATGAAAAATAACTGTTTACCAAAGTGGAGGTGGCTAGTGGTTGTAGTTACTAAAACAAGAGATGACCTAAAATCCAAAACAAAAAACCTTAGAATACCCTAATGTTAGGTCAATTTAGGTCATTTTAGGTATATGGATACTGTGGATACTTACCAAGCCGTGCAACACTGAGGTGAATAGTTGTTTCAGTTTATATCATTGTTGACACTTAGAAATTAAATTTTGCATAAGGTTGATTCTCAAATAACTAAATGACTGGTAGTTGGATCTAAAAACTTAATAAAATAATCCAGAGAACTTTTACAATCCAAACTATTACATTTTGATGAGGAACTATGAAGCAATCTTGAGGAGATTTATAAATCTTGTGTCTAACGCTAGGCTCACAATATGGGGCCATGGATGTTGACATCCACAAATTTTGCAGTAGGTAGACTGCCAGTCACCATTCTCAAATTACATAAATGATCAGCAGTCTGATCTTAAACTTTCACAACTCTGCAGAATCCAAACTATTACATGTTGATGGAGAACTACTTAGTGATCTCAAGGAGATTTGTGAGTCTCATATCTAATGCTTAGTTTACGCTGGGCTGAGAAGATGGAGTCATGGATGTCGACACCAAGAAATTGTTTGATGACAACTGCCAGTCACAGTTCTCAAATCACTAAATGACCAGCAATCAGATATTTTTCTAAATTTTTCAAATCAAAAGAATCTTTACAATCCAAAATTTTATGTGTTAATGAGGAACTGCTAAGCCATCTGGAGGAGATTGAATACACTGAGACCCTGAGGAATAGGAGCAAGACCACAATTTGGAGTTCATGACACATTAGAGGTTGAAACTCAAGGGTGATCGAGGCACACTTGTGGCAAAAAATTTTGCACCACATGAGACTTTCTATGGTCACTGACTTAATTACCATCAATTCTTGCTTTGTGCTCAAGCTGTTGATTTTATTTGCTGTTATTTCTTGGATAAATATAGAGAAGAAATATTCTGTCAGGTAAGTTAAGTTTTTACAATATTTTTAGCAATGACTGTGAGCCATAAATTGCCTGTTGCTGATTTGTGTGATGGATGACTCAGAAAATTGTTGTGTTTTGACAAGGTTGATTTGGTATTTGCTGGGGCAAATTCCAGCAGAGTGTACATCAGCTCTCCAAATCAAACTGGTTACCACTGGACATTTCTTTATGTGGATTGGAAGAGCAGAAAGTGGCATATTATTGCGATACCCTTTTTTGGGCATCACCCTCAAACTTGAGGGAGTTGTTTTCAAGGGAAAAGACTCAATAGAGATTGTGGAATCTAATGATGGAAGTCATGACAGCCAGTGACAGACAAGTGAAAGACAAGGAGAAAGGTGATGGAGTACATAGCTTTGTCTCTGATAAAGAGTGAGAGGAGAGAGAGGAAAACACAGAAGAGATTGCAGAATCTGATGAGGTGAGCTATGAAAAAGCAAGAGGGCCAGATTGGGCTGTGCCTTCAAACAGAAGTAGAACCTTGTATTTAATATTGTAGAGAGGCACTGAGGGGACTTTCTCAGCAAGAGGCACCAAGACTCTACTTTTGATTTCTCCTTTAATTGTTCTTCTCCAGCATATTAACAACTTTCTGCTACCACTACCTCAACTACTAATACTACACTTAATCACTCAAACACACCTCCTGAGTAATCTATTGGTGAACATGTTTGAGTTATGAGCTGGTTGGTCTTGGGCTAGCTAACCCAAATAAGTTTTACAAGAACAATAGAAATGAACAATAAAGCACTTAATGATTTAAACAAAATAAAAGCTAATCATTGAAAACAAAAACCAACTCAGGAACTCTGTTGTTGGTCCAGACCATGGCTGTGAGACAAACTCAAACAAGAACACTATTGACAAACAAACAAACAAAGTACAAAAAGTCAATAGCTAGGTGTTTGGTCTTGCAAACTTTAGAATCAACTAAACTATTCAAGATACAATAATCAAGATACTTTGCACAAAAACTAATACTACCTCTAACTATCAACTCCATAACAACAGTGAGGAAAAAAGACAATGTATAATCTTACGAAAATGTTCAAACAACGAGTAAGGTTTAACCAATTTTTCACATAGAATTACCTTATTGTGTGATCACAAATCGACCTGTTGTTCGGTTGATCAATGTAGTTTTGATATAAGGACATTTTCTATCATTTAGTTAAATAATTGAACGACGCCAACCTAACCAAATGTCATCATATGAAAGACTTTTCATACATTTTTGCCAAATTTTTTAATTCGAAGCATAGTCTACGTCTATCTGGATCTCGATAAACATTTTTTACAAATCTGAAACGGGTGCAATGAAGACTCGTATCCGTGTCTTGGAAAATGAAAAACCATGGGAGTGCTAAAAAGGAATTGCGTTACTGGCCATCTATACCGACGCAAATGTAGCCGTTATTGTGTTACTGGCTATCTTTGAATTTCCCTTTACACCGACGCAAATGTAGCCGTTAAGTTATTCGTTACTGGCAACATGTATCTCAGAATTTCCCTACATACCGACGTTGAGGTAGGTGTTAAGTCATTGCGTTACTTGCTATCTTAGAATTTCCTTATAAACCGGCGTAATTACCTGGCCGTTAAGTTATTGCGTTAGAGGCTATCTTAGAACTTCCTTGTAAACTGACGCAAATGTGGCCGGAAAAGTCATTGCGTTGGTAGCTATCTAAGAATTTCCCCTAATACCGACGAAAATGTAGCTGCGTTAAGTCAAAATGGTACCGGCCATTAAGTCATTGTGTTACTGGCTGTATTATGATCACTATTTATATATGCCAGTATTAATGAACACCATACGCCAAACTTAGTGGCTTCAAGAAATGCTTTTCTGTATAGACGAACGAAATTACCAATTTCGCTGTTATCATGCCGCATTTCTAAGTGTCAATGACGATAGTTCCGTAATCTGAGCCCAACGTAAATCGAGCATGAGATATGACATTTATAAATCAACTCAGGATCGCTTGGCAGCTCCTAAACAAAAAGTGGTTGTTTGATTGTACAGGTTCTCTCTTCGTTAAGTTTTGAAAAATACCCGACTTCCGGTCATTTAGTTATTTGAAAACCTTGACCGGCCGCCGGTCATGTAGCCACACTATTATACAGTTTTTGCATACTAATTTACAAGCTTAAGGCATCGGCAATAACTAGTTTACCTCGCAAATTTGGACAGCAGCAGATCGAATGGGCAATTTTAAAAATTGATTTAATCATCATGAAATTATCCTGGCGATATTTACCTTCTCTTCAGAAGCGGACATAGCCAATGTCGTCCCAATTCCAAAGGCTTCACTTGGACGATAGAGGGCTTTCCTTTCCACAGACTGTCGAGGGGGAGTGGGGTGACTGTGAGAGGACGACACGCCGAAAGAAAAGATGATTGGAAAGTAATTAGAAAGTAATGGGGGCCGAGGAGCACATATGTCAACTACTGTCTCTCATTCCATACTGATAGCAATCTTAGCTCCTCTTCAGTTTGGAGGCTTTATGTACTATGAACTAGTGCATAAAGCTTCCATAGTGATCCTCTTCGATTTCTTCACCCTGACTCATTAGTCAGACTCACGAGTTAACACTATAGTTTTAATTATTAACCAAGAAGTATGGACTACGGACTACGGACTACGGACTACGGACTATGGACTACGGGCTATGGACTGATGAATCGACCTACTCACAGTTAGAGTTCGTCTAAACTTAGAGGTTTTTTTTGTCTTTTTTGGCACAATGAAGAAACTTTTTAAGTTTGAAACAATCACTAAAATCAGTAAACATTAAAAAAAAAAAATCGCGTAACAAGTGCAAAATATTAGTTTGTAGAGAAGAGCGGTTGCACATTGTCGAAAGGGAGAAGTCAGGAACAGAATGCCATTTCATGGATGTGGTTTCCAAATGTTTCTTTCTAAGCAGTTGACCAGAAGAAAAATACGTAACTAAGAGAGAAACAGTCAAACCCATCTCAAGGGTAAATAATGATGAAACCCAAGAAAAGTATACTTCCTGAAAATTCATAAATAATGGTTACGTGTAATTTCGAAAAAGAAGTTTTTTTTTTTTTTTGCAATATGGTGTTCATATTCTCGAGGTACAAAGAGCCACGACCTCAATTCTTAACCGGTGAAGTCGCGAGAGAATATCACAATAAATTACTCTTAAATTGTTTTAAATCTTCGAGAATAGGTGGCACAAAACTTTTCCTTGGATGGAAGGCATAATTTGTGAAAGATCTAAAAGAGAAATTTGTCGTCACTGTTTTCAAGCCTTGTCGTAGGGGATCCCTCTTGTCGAATTTCAGCACTAAAGGTTAAAAATTTTCCAAACAGGAAAAGGATATGCACACTTCTTTTGATATAAAGTATCGAGAGATGGTTGCTGCAAAACTACTTCAAGTACCGTTTAAGCATTGACTTATTTTGGGTAAACGGATACCTTGTGAGCCATCTCCGCAACAGAGGTAAGTGATTTAAATGGAGAGGTGGCTTATTAGATAGAATATATCCGCAGGGTAACTATGTTCGTCGGGAAAGTAACCCTACAGATACAATATTATTCATTATAAACCAAACAAGTAAATAGTGTGATATATTAAAGTTCACAAGGCAACCAGGTGGACAATCTGACATGGTTTGATGCTTCTCTGGTTTAAAGATTTAATGAATGTAACCGAGAAGTTACAATTCATAGACCCAACGTTTCGACACTCGTGTCTAGTGCCTTCATCAGGGGTGATCTTAACGCTGTATGAAGAAGTCTTTTTATACGCTCACTAATTACCTTCCCTTTTTTTCTGACGAGATGTAAATAAGCGTCCTTTAAATCATCACGATTTAAAGGAGCGTGGGCCGAATTGATATGCCAGTCATCCGACCAAAGGCGCCGGTGGTAACGTCGATTAGTGGGGATGATTTTAGACCTATCCCATCCAATTGTATGGTTGGTTAGGCATGTTTGCTCCAACAAAGCTGAATTTTCTTTTTTGCAAAAGAAGACTGCTTTTTGATGCTCTTTCAAACGTGCACCAAACTGACGTTTGGTCTGTCACATGTTTGGTCCGATATACTCGTGATCACAGTCATTGCACGGAATAGAATAAATAGCGTCGGTTCGTTGTTCTTTCGTGACAGGATCCTTAGGATTAGTAAAAATATGCCCCAAAGTCTGAAATGGTTTCTGAGCAACTTTAAAATTAAACATTTAAAAAGTATAGAGTTGGTTTAAACATAAAAGAAAGCTCGAAACATTGTTATTTAATCATCAATTTATTCAGGTCAACTTAATTCTAAAATGTAGTTCGGGCCATAAACAGTTTTCTCTATACCAGACGTCATTAAACATTGCGTCACACTAGCCTCTGTTTTTAAAAATTGGACGGTCCAATTTTTTTAAAACTTAGGCCAACCCGACATTTTAGTCCCCCATTTTTGTCTTTGATGTTTATGGCCCTTAGGACCTAGTTAACTTGTTATAGCACAGGAAGAGCTGTTTGAATAGCGTCGGTTGAAATGTGTGAAGAGAAATCACAAGTTAAAGCCTAACTGCGATGACTTATTTAGAACGGTTGAGGACTTAAATGCTATCACTATCATGAAAATTTGAGGTATGTTTTTTTTCTGAAAAAGAAAAATATAATGGTAAACCACAATTTAGTTTAGTCCGAGTGCAAGGCCGTTGTTGTTGTGACTTGTTGTCTTAGGCGTTATGGTGTTATGGCTTCTGCCAGCTATCGATTTTCTCACTGTTCCTAAAGGTCGTTTTGTTTTTCGTTTCAGCTCATGGATGATCGTATCTCCTTCTTGGGAATAGTCTATAAACTTTATGATAAAGGACTGTCGAGTAAGAAGGTCTGACAAAAGCTTGTTCAAAAACTACTCACGTGAGGCGTGAGTAGTCCAGTGGTCAGTGTGCTGGACTCTGGGTCCGACGACCCGGGTTCAAGTCCTGGCTGGGGCATGACGTTGTGTCCTTAAGCAAGACGCTTCACTCACATTGCTTCGTCTTCTCGGATAGGACGTAAAACCGTAGGCCCCGTCTCCTGCAGGGCTGGGGTAGGAGACGTTAATTTCCCACGCACGAGATTACTGTGTGGTGGATGTCCTCCCCTGGGGTGGGATGGGTGGAAGAGACACTAATTGTAAAGCGCCTTTGATCATATAAAATGTTAAAGGGCACTATATAAGTAAATAAATTATTATTATTATTATAATTTTATTCAATTTGAAATAATGGTCTGCTCAGCATGCAAACGAACACTTTGTCGAGTCTGGGAAACTAAGATCAACAAAAATTTTAAACGATCTTTTCTTGTGGACACCTCCTCGTGATCAAGACTACCCTTGTGTGCAAAAAAGCTGAAGGGCGCCCTTCAAATCAAGCAATCATTTTCACTGAAATTTTTGCAGAATTACTTCTAATACGCGACATTTTCTTTTAACATTCATGTGGAAATTACGGATGATATTGGAGTAAATGTGTCTCTCTTGAAACTTTGAATTCTATTCTGCCTTCCCCTTCGCATTTCAACATGGCCGTCACAGGAAGCAAGCAATAAAAAGTATCGTCCAAATCCTCTCTCGGCTACATCAGTCTGTTTTGGTCTTGTCTAGACCAATCATATCACAGGAAATGGTTAAGACAAAACTGTCGAGGGCCCGGCATGCTTCTTTCATTTTCTTTGTCTGTAAAGCGCACTGAGATTATGCCATTACACAGAATGCCGCGACACATCCGGGTACTTTTTTAAGTCCACCGGCGGTAAATTTGAACGGTCCTCCGAGAAAAGAGAGGGAAACAATGAGGAAAATGGCTATAAATCGCCCACTTGCACCTACGTTTTTCTGTTTTACTCACCAACTAGCTGCCGAAGCTATTTGTCAGCATATGAATTTTGTAGAAGAGGGTTCAATAAACAAATTTATTCTAAAGTTTATTTTCTACCGAATTCTTCCGAAGCAACCTCTGGCCATCATGAATTTTACGTCCAGAAGCACGGTTGACCGATTTTTGAAACCCCCGCGAGTGTACTAACATACGCAAAACTTCGCCTCCGCAAACAATAGCGCGAACGCCACTGCAATCAAGCATTGAAATTGAGATATCGACTTCCCAAGCTTTAGGATTGAACGAATTCGGAAACGAAACCATTGGTTAATCGTAACACTCTTCGTTTGCAAAAGAAACAGAAACAAAAAGATCTTCTCAAAAATTTAGAATTCTACCACGTGTACCGTTAAAGAAATGCAGTGAGTTGATCGGGAGCTCTCCTCAGAACTCATACAATCCCCGGTCAACCCTGCTTTTTTAAACATGTCTCGGCCGTTGACAAGTAGTTTAAACCGCAATTCTATCTTCGAATCAACGGAGAAGCTCTTTAGGAGTGACAGAGACTCAACAATCCCGACGAAGTATTTGATGCTCTTCAGTGCAATCGGGTGTACGTGTTACCACGCTCTTGTAGGTAAAGCTGTTCACAGCAGAGTAGAACATGTTGTAAATTCATGAGGATGTCCCCGTCGCGTCAGTAAAGACAATTTACACTGAATGGGATCATCTTGAAGAGGCAACTCCCGCATCTCAAAAAGTACTGACGATGATCTTCCAGTTTTCATAAGAACAGTATAGGAGTGTTGTCTGTGTTGGAACTCAGAGAGTAGGTGGGATATTTGTTTGGTTAACCCGGCAGAAGAGACGACGGCAAATTCTTATAAAATACTTTTAGGAGGAATTCAGCCACGAAGATTCAAGTAAGCTATCAAAAATACTAGCAGCCTTCTATTCTCCCCTTGACCCGTTTAAGTCAAAGCTTTTGAAGTGTCAAAACGCCCTACTGAGGCCAGTAAGAGTCGAGTGGACGCAAAGGTGTGATATGCAAAATAGAGTGGTAAATTATTTCTGTTGACTGTTATTACTGAAAAACCGTTCTGCTATTCCTTTCAAAGATTTCAGCCAAAATATGTTTCTATTGTAGCTTCAATAGGAACGAAAGTGAAAATTAATTCACGTAAAAGACTCGAGAGGTTCATAAAGAAGAACAATGTGTACTTCAAAAAATTTATTTATTTGCAAAGTAACATGTAACGGATTATATTGTACATTTTTCAGTTACTGACGCTAACTGTAGTCCACATGGAAAAGAAGTACTACTTTCAAAGCAAATCGGCTATGACGGGTAGTCCACATTCAGTTAAAAGGTGATAAAGATCACCCACTGTTATCTGATATTTTTGTGCAATGTAACCCAAAGCTGCATCAGCTGGATTCAACGTGCGGTGGTCAAGGAAACGAATCTCTTCTGGGGTTAGTCTCAGTTGCTCTGCAAATATCTTCCACTCATCTCCACCTTCAACGTTAAACATAAAAGTCCTTTTTCAAGATAACTTAATTAAGAGAACAAAAGGAACTAATAGAATAAACAAGGATGGAACAGAATGGTTCAGGAAATATAGATCTTATTACGGGGAATTTTGGCGTGTAATATCGCAGAGTATTTAAATACGGCACAACTCGTAAAAATACTCAGCGATACTCCACACCAAAATGTCTAATAAGTTATTTATTCTCCAGCTGCCTTTTTTCTGCTAAGTGTTTCTGCAAATTTCTCATAAGGCGGGAAAAGCAAAGCGGATAGAGAAGCATCACAACAAAGCCACTAGAAACACTTCTTCAGGTATGCATTATACATCGACGGTAACGCATGACCTAGTTTTTCATATTATGCAAAGAGAGGAAGAATTTAGAAAACCACAAATTATTTGGTGAAAGAATGAAAGTGAGAATGAATACGAGGACAGGTGAGAGAGTAAGTGATGGAGGAAGGAAGATCGGAAGGAAAGGAGGGAAGGAGGCGAGAAAGGAAAACATAGATACGCTTATATGAAACATTGTAATGAAGAAAAACTCAATACTTTGTTTTGTCTTCTTACCGCTTAAGGTGATAGTGAGCTTTTTTAGTTGACTGAAAGGGATTCCTCGAACAAGAAGGCTTTCCGGTAACATTGGAGCTAGAAATAAGAAAAAATTTATATGTATTTTCAAAAATGATAGAATATTTAGGCACTTCGGCTAACAACCCAAAACGTTTCGGAACTTTCGGTTAGAGCTTAAATGATTTTAATCAAATTTTAAAAAGAGTTTTAGTTCACCCGCCCGGAGAAATTCTGTGAGAAAAACGGTTAGTAATTATCAGGGAGGACACTATAATTTACCACGGGAGAAAACGACAATTAAGCCAATGAATGGAAAATAAATTATCTTGAAAACGATTTGCAGGAAAAGCATTTAGGAGTGTAGAACTTTCGATATTCGGATATATTTTCGGCAAAGGTCAACAAAGTGCGAGTGCCACTTCAGGACTCATCGAAACGAGTTATGTTCTTAAAGTTTTCGTAATCTGGCGAGTCTTGGAGTGCTAAGTATTTGATCGATGCTATGATAACATAATCTGACAATCAAAAACTGCACTTCAAAGAGCACAGCATGTTATTATTCTACGAACATACTCGACGGCTGAGTGTGGCAGTCATTAAAGTAATGTACATTTGAGTTTCCATATTAAAACTTACCTGTAGTTCCCGCCGGTACAATTTTTCTCAGCTCCTCAACTACATCACTTCGGCCTGCATTGTTAGCCTTTCTCGCTATGGCACGAATCAGTACCTTGTTATCAGGATCAAGGTTTCGCAAGGCGGCATCATTTAGATTAAATTTGTCTTTTAATTGTCGCACAAAATATTTGCAATCATTCGACGGTGCCAAAAGGGTGTCGACAATCTCACCAGGGGCAGAGAGGATCGTAGCTCCTTCCCCTAACAAAGTATATAATTTATTTATATATTAATATTGCTACAATTGATAGCTTTTTCACCAGGTAGCCGGCATTCTGTAACAGATGGGTCTTTGAAAACTTCGCAAGTGTGTGCAAAATGACTACCAACCAAGGTGGATACAGTGAAATCTGCGTAGGTGAACAGTTTAGGTAAATCGACCTTTCCCGTTCTGTATGGGAACAACAGCACCTTGTTCAAATGCAATAATTCGATATGATAACATAAATGTCATATTCAGGAGTGCTCTAGCGAGCTCGGCTAAAAGGGACAGCCATCATTTTCAACTAACCTTCACCCTTGTTTTCTTCCATTGGGGCTGTCAAAGTACACAGATTTTCCTTCACTTCTTTCACTTCGCTGTCCATCTTTGCCATTTCGCCTGTCATTTGCTCAAGAGACCCTTTCGTGGTATCTGACGATACAATAACATTAGAACTTTTAGTCTGAGCAAAAGTCATTTTATTCATTAAAAGAAAAGTTAACTAAATAGATCCTTTCCCCTTACTCTGTTAGTTTCGATTTTATACAAAACTCTAGAAAACTTATGGTAGGTCTCAACGGTTTCTGACCGCAGAACTGACAGTTAAATTCTGTCATAGAGTAATTTATTCGGGAGATGAATATTGATATCATTGAAGCCTATAGTCTGAATAAGATTTATACAGCGAGATTGTGCGAACTTATTTATAAAAACCAACGAACGCCTTTCAGCCTTCTTTGTCATGAAGTGGGAGGTTTGTCTACAGTCTTCTCCTCAGAAAATGTAAAATAACCACATACATCTTATTCTAACCTATTTTGCTCAAGACGATCCTCTTCAGCTATTTTCCCATGTAGAATTGAATACTCCACAATATGAGCGGAGGATGGATTTGGTTATTTTATTCAGAAATATATGGATCACATCTGACGCTACTAGGAAGTGAGGTTCATTATAAGAAAGATAATACTAAAACACGACGATAATCTATCTCGTCTACAATCATATATATGCATGAGTGCTGTCAAAACACCATCAAATCTTAGAGGTAGTAAGGGAAAAAAATCTCAGATTCCGTGGCATTCCACACATTACATAACATCTCCATGTAACGCCGGTGCGAGTGGTGGCCAGGGTGTGCTATTAAATCAGTAAAGTACTAAAAGATGCTGTGTTGGCCGACATCCAGCGATTACCGTCGTCATGCACAAGAGCTGTGCTATGCACTCAAGAAAACAGTATGGCTCTTAAAAATTTTTTTCTGTGAGTAGCTCTCTCTATCAACTAACCTTCTTGTGCGCTTTTTTCAGCTGAGGCCGTTAGACTACATAGCTTTTCTTTCACCTCTTTTATTTCAATGTCTATCTTGTCATTTGTGTATCTGAAGTTTCTCTCCATAATGCTTCTCATGTTTTCCAGCGAATCTGAAAATTTCAAAAGTTTCATGAGCAAATTTATATCACAGCTTCACGTTTAGGTGCAGATAAAAAAATGATACGTATATCAGTATCTAGTAAATTCCGAATAAATCAAACTCAATAAGACGCTTAGAAATCGCAAAAATGCCCTTCGGCAGTTGTATACGAGTACCCACGAACCGATACGAAAATACTGCAAATGAAAACACAGCGTCAGCATTTGACCAAAATGAAAACATCACGAGCTAGCCTACACAACAGTGTCAACTGCAAATATAAACTTTTGTAGCCTTCTGATTCACCCATATTTGCAGTGAACAATGTTTTCTTACCTTCAATCTCTTTAAGCTTCCCTTTGATGCTATCGTCGTCTTGTTTTTTCATTTCACGATAATGCTCCTCGATATCTGGATCCATGCAGTGGTTTTCAAGATTGTCGATTTCAGTTCTAAAATGAGCTCCTCCTAGTCTCACCAAAGCTTCTCGTATCTCTTGCCAGTAAGCACTGAAACTACTGTCATCCACAGAGGCTTGAGAAGCATGGCTGTATATAGTGTTCCTGTAGTACTTCACTCTGGCGATGTCACCTGCGATGCTAATGTCTGTAACTGGGGGAAGACGATCCCATCCATTGACAGGAGTGCTCAAATAACAGATATTTCTAAGCAGTACTGTTAGGAGCGTGATGTCGAAGGTTGCAGATGACACGGGAGAGTGAGTAGGATACAACTTCCCCCATTGCGTGGGATTCAGCACTTTCTTCCTCCCTTTGTAGAGTGATTGCAATGTGGCGTAATGCACTGAGGTACTTCCCAAAACTGTATGTAGAGTCTCTGGTGGATGTATTTTGTCAAAGGTGTACCGGAGCACTTGAGATCCAACATCCACCAGGAGGCGACATAGCCTTGCATAGTTGGTAGTCTCTTTCGTAGACGCAAATGACGATGGAGCTGTAGCCATGAAACTGACCTTACCAGGATGACCTGTCAAACATGGAATTTACATTAAGTTATGTTAATAAAAACCATTTGAAAACAAAAAAACACCCTGTAGTCAATTGAGACCGAAAATGGTTTCAAATCGTGACGTCATTTTCTAAATCCTTGGGGGCACGGAAACGAAAGAACTATTTTGGCGACTTAATGAGGTTTAATCAGAGATAATTGATCACAACACAGCTTTTGGATTAAAAAAGAGTTTTTTTTTCAGTTTACAAAGTATCAAAGAGAGACATAGACAGCAGAAATGAAACGCGATTTCAAAGTTTAAGGGAAAAGGAATCATCAATAGAGTTTTTATTTCCTCTTGAGGGCCTTAAACTCAGTCAGTTATGGCTGGTTGACGTTTAATTCTTTATGGAATGTGATCTGCCTTCTAAGTGCCAAGGTCGACATAGACTGTGATTATATTCTTGAATGCTTTAAGTAAGGTTATCTTCTTGGGATCTACCAATCCAAATCCTATCCCTCACTAATAATGAAAGCATCCGTTTAACTATTTCATAACCTAGCACGTCACCTTACCTTGAGTGCCGTATTTCAAACCAACTGATCTTTAAAACTTCTGAATTGTTTATCAATGCTAAAAGAGAACGTAAAACTGGACATTAGCGTCTACTACAAGCATTTTCGTAGGATCAGGTGCCTAAGTACAACAACTAAGTTAGCTATGCTGTTACAAACAGAAATCCCGAAACACCTATTTCCCAGTAATTACCGCCAATAACATTCAAGCCCCTCGCATGTAGATCATCTCGTTTAGGAACAATACCACCGTTAACACCGCCAAGTAATTATTGCACAGGTAAGTTTTAAAATTGATCCAGGAGAAGTAACTATATTAATGTCACCAACTACCGCTGAAACAACTCTTGACCCCCCTACATTCCCCAGCTATCAGTGCTTCTTAAACTGCTACCACACGAGAACTACAACCATCACAAAGCCATAGGCATTAAGCCAATACCACTAACACTAGAACCATAGTCACCTCAATTGGAAAGTAATGACTCCCTTTGATAAAAGAGTCTCAAGTGATTTAAAGCAGCTCCAGTCTCCAGAGAAAGGACAAGTCCAACAAGAATCCACTAGCATTAATACAAAAGCCACACCCGTTTTTACTGCTTCATGCCGCATCACAAAGATCTGACCATTGCCAACGTGACCATTACACCTAAACCTGGAAGCCACCATAACTCCTATACGACCCACAAGCAGAAACAAAAAATAAACTACAGTGTAACATCAAAGCAAGACAACACAACTTCCATGTACCACCTGGCAAAGATCACTGCACCAACTCAGTCATTTGAAGCATATTCGCAGAAGCATCATCCATCACCACCCCAACCTGGACAAAAACTACATAGTTACATTAAGGAAACTACGTGTTCAGAACATTTTTCATTAATATGGTAATCAGTGTCATACCAGGTCAGCCAATCGAAGCAACTCCATGACTAGACCCGGAAATAACAACACAACAAATACAAGAATGATATTACTTCAAGTCACTGTGTTAACAACAATCACTAAATCGTAGCCTAAAGCTAGAAAACACTATCTAGAAAGACTGGTTATGGGTCAACTGACGTGTCCCAGTTCATTGATCACTGGAACAATAAAGTCTAAGTCAACAGACCCAAAAGTCTCTGTAGTATTACCACCTCCATAAAAAAAACGTTTCAACTACCAAAATGTGTCTAACAGCAAAACCCACCTCTTGCAGTTACCACAGAACCAGACAATATCTGGCATAACATTACCAAGATCCTTTAACAAAGAAAGATATACATCTACACAATTGCATGACCAGACTGAGCATAAACATCCTCCATGCCTAGGTAAAAATATAAGGTGGGATCCAGCCAATCCCACCTGGGATCCCAGGTGTGTCCCAGGTGGGATCCCGGGTGGGATTATGGAACATCCCGCATGGGATCCCGCCTGGGATTATGGAACATCCCGCATGGGATCCCACCTGGGATTATGGAACATCCCGCATGGGATCCCACCTGGGATTATGGAACATCCCACATGGGATCCCACCTGGGATCCCACATGGGATCCCGCCAATTGAAGTTGGGATCCCGCCTTAAATTCCTAATAGTATCCCACCTGGGAAAGCACATCCCGGGCAGGATTAAACCTAGAATCCCACCAATCCCTCTTGGGATCCTGCCAATCCCAGTTTAGACCCTGCATAAAATTACAAATGGCTTCCCACTTTCAGAAAAATCCTTTGAGGGATCCTGTTTATCACTGGAGACCACAGATTTATGAAATGTACCAGATAGGATATCTTAAAATTAAGAGGATAAAATTTTCTAGGTGAGCTATAGACCCCATCAATCCACTGAGGGTCCAAAACTTTCCAACTAGCTATAGAACATACTGACACCTCCAATGGGATCCCATTGTCTTACCAAGCTGTTGATCATAAATGATTCAAACAGTACATGAATACACAGACTATATGTGATAAAGATCTCATAATTTATTTGCATTGAACCAGCATGTGTTTGACTTGTTTCATTAACAAATTTCTTAACCGAACATTCTTAAAGAATAACAGCACAACTCAGCATATTACTTTTTCTTCATCATTTAAGCAGACCATCTACAGTGTAATAAGGCTCAACGTTTAAAAAAATTGGCTGTTGTGTATCAAAGAATAAGGAAAGACAAAACCTCAATAATTCATGTTATCAAAATTTTGACAAAGGTACTGATTGAAAGTCTGCTCTCTCTTCAGTCGAATTTTTCAAAGCAAAACAAGGTCAGAATGTTCCCAAATGTGACTAAAGTAATCTTGAAACCTTACTCATAGATTTATTTCATTGTAAAGTGTAAGCCTAGGAAACTGCAGCATGCAAGCGACCAATTCGATTCTCAGAATTATTTGAGTTTCAGTTGCGCTGAGCGTTAGGTAAGCTTAATTCAAGCCGTTATTTCTATTCTTTGATAACATTTTGATCACGTAGCGAATATGGCAATTTGCACTCACCACAAACTTCTAAAAATCCTAGCTTTAAATGGCCACTCGATCGTTGTTTGAACCAGTCGATATGTCAACTGTTGATTGTCCCTTCTTTTAAGTTCACGGCGCCAATGACTTTCTTTTCATTTAAAACACTCACGCTGTCCTCGTTTTCCCATTAAACCACAATAAAACCAATCTTTAGAAGTGTTATACTAAGCAAAACCGTTGGGAAAAGAAACAACTTGAAGCAAGAGCGGTTGGCCGATGAAAAGTACATTCAAAGATGAGCGCCAAATGGAGTTTTCTCTGTTTCCGATCACGGGCATGATCACGTGGACGTTTTAGCAAGGAGAATCCGCTGGCTTGACCCATTGCAGTCTCAAAAGAAGCGCGCAACATTATTCTGTCTCTTCTGATCGGTTCTCCTCTCCTAGATGGTGGATACCTTGGATTCATGTTTTGATGATGACATAAATAATGATGTGAATTCACTCTATGTAAAAATAATCGACAAGAATCGAACAAGAATGCACGATTTGTGGCCGAAAGTTTTCGAGGAAAGAAAGACTCGAAACCCACTTGAGTTATGTTCACGGCGAAGGTGAGAAACAACACAAGCCAATCACATTAGGAAGTATAAGAGATACCTAGATGATCCCAGTGTACCAGTACCCAAATCAACAAGGCTTGACCACAACAAGCGTTCAGCAACACGTTCCAACACAGCTAGCCATCTCGATTCCTCAGTCGGTCTTTCCAGTGAACTAGCAGTGGTGCCAACAGAGTCAAGTGCTTCTCATAACGGAGAAAACATTTGCACGAGAGACAGAAGCAACTACATGCGATTACAGAGGTGCATTGGAATTCTCATCTGCAAATGGTTATGCACAGTCCGAAGCGTTACCGAGCTTGGAAAGGGGTGGAGAGAACGAAGATACAAGGTTGTCATTTTATACTACAAGTAAAATTTTATACCAGACCTACAAGGTATAGAAAAATTTTGTTGATCGCTGACTCAGAGAAGAACAACAAGTAAACTTTAGAGTTGTTATTATTGAACTGTGACTTGTACTTTTCATTTGTATGTAAGGAAGGAATTGTATTTTGCACCAAAAATATTAAGAATTAATATTTTTTAGGAGGTCCAGTGATTGGAACATTTAAGAAATTAAGTTATGAAAAGAAACTCGGTTTGTACTTCTCACTACTAACAAGTCTTGTTTTAAAAATATTTTCAGATCAGAGTTTCAAATAAAGCAAATTGAAGAAGTCATTTAAAAGGTGTATTTTCTCAAAGGGAACAGTGACCACCTCTGTCTTGTCTGCATGCCAAATATTTGTGGAGTGTGTGGATGATCCATAAGTATTGGAACTCTCACAAAAACGTTTGGTAAGAATAAAAACAGCAAAACAATATTTTCGTAGGTGGGATAAAGAATCCCAGGTGGGATATGTAAATCCCGACCAGGATCCCAGGTAGAATGCATAAGTCCCACCTAAGATGCCGGGTGGGATGCAGGAATCCCGCATTAAATGCGGGATCCCAGGTGGGATCAAATTTTCATCCCAGGTGGGAAAGGTGGGATCCCACCACCTAAGGTGGGATCCAGCCATTCCCACCTGGGATCCTGGGTGGGATTGCCGGGATCCCGCCTAACATTTTACCTGGGTGGCCACTCCTAAATGATCATAGAAATTACAAAAATAGAAGTTATTATACATTACTGAGGCATCATCCATCATCACTCCCAAAAGGATAAACCATTGATATTAATGTTGAAACAATTATAAAGTGGTGGGTGATAAACTGGTATGATGGTCATCCACAAGCACCATGCAACACCACCACTTAAGGGGATTTAAATACATCACGTACTGCTCTATAAGTGGGTAACCAAAAATTGCATAATGAATAAAAACTAGCGAGCAATCTCCTTTATGAGAATTTTTACAAGTAATATCAGATCAAGCACAAGCGA